AATATAGTTAATGACTAAGAATCAATATCAAACTGGGCAAAAATTAGCTAAGTTCAACCAAACAATTAAAAACATAAGCAAGATGCTTCCATCTTGTGTGGATGCTTGCGTTGAAATGGATAATAGCCACGCAGTTTGGAAACCTACCTAAAATTTGTGTCACGAGAAAGAAAGTGATGGGATTCTAAAAAGTTCAATCAAAAGGGACACCATGATTAATCTAGTTATTACTCAAAATTTGACATATAAAGAGGTTTACACAAATTTAAGCAAAGGGATTAGCACCTAAGCACATGAATAGAGTAATTTGTCTGTTGATTTGTCAATGTCAACTACATATGATGGTTATCTAAGATGGGATTTATTAGAAGAAATTGTAATGGTAGTTGCATGTGCGCTCAGTCAACTTGTTCCTCAAAAATCAAAATGCTTCATGAACTCTTGCCGATCCAAAAAACAAAAAAACTTCATGACCTCATTGAACTTAGATTTATTTTTCTGATTCCAAACCACCATTACCACGCCTCTTGGCTTGAAAATTTTTTATGTTTATAAATTTATAAAAAGTTAGTATTTGTCCGATTTACTTCTAAAAAGGTAAAAAAAAAAAAAAAGATAAAAAACATCTTAATTCATGTTTTAAAAATATAATATTTTAATTTTTTTCAATAAATGCTTATTAAATTGACATAGTTTTGAAAATAAGACAAATAAACACTATTTTTAATTTATAAATGCAATTATTCAGTTTGGTTTAGTTTCTGAAAAGATCTCTTATACTTTTATAACAAAACTAGTTAAACACGGGTTTTTTGAAAGTCTTGCAAGAAAATTTTTTTTTTTTCAAAGTACCATTTTAGTTTACCCCAAATCTACTCCTTCTAAAGTATATACTTTGTTGACAAACTTTGAATCTGATTTTTTTTAATCAATTTTTAAAAATTTTCATAATTATTTTATATGAATTAATAATTCAACATTTCTGTAAAATATCTACTCAAATAAAATTTTTACAAAAGTTACAATTAGGCCCAAACAAGCTCTAAAAGTAAAATCATTTTCACTATGCAACATGAACCAGTGATAAGAATCTAGCTAGACAAAACAATCATATAAAATCATTTTCACCATGCAACATGGTAAGTCCCATATCACAACAATATGAATTGTTTGATATACAATACATAGTTTTAAGCCTGTAACTGAACTTAGCATATCTTAATAAGAAACCATATGCACTTCTGCACGAGAAATTTTAGTGTGAATTGTGTTACACCATAATCTGCCATGACTGAGTGTTAGCTGGCTAAAAGTCCATTGTCTGAGCTATGGATTTCAATTGATAGTTTTGGACAAGGAGTTAACCTTTTTTTCATCCATGCAATTGAACCTTCCTGGAGCTTGACCATTCCTCCACAAAGGACTGTTTTAGATATGTAGCAGCAAAAAGTTGAGGTGAGCCCACTTCCTTACATCTCTAACCTTGTTTAAAGGATGGAGGGATCACAGTTCATTGTTTGCAACAAATAAGATGACTTGGTGCTAAGTAAGCAGCAGCAAGGGAAGGGGAAGCAATGCCTATCATAGATTCAGAACATAGCTTAGCTGCAAAGGAGGACATACTTGATACTTCTCTACGCTCATGGATAAATCTTGAGACAATCGTCAACTGATGCAGAAACAACTGTCTATACTCATGAAGAAGTCTTGAGACAATTATCACAAGGACTAGGACCATATTTACAGGATTTACTGTCAAAAGATTCTCCAAAGTGTTCAAGTAAAGTTTGTCTCCGACACTTATCCTGAAAAGAAAATACAAGTTAGCAAGCTTTTGTTGATAGTGATAGCATAAATTATCAGGAATTTCTTGTACAATAAATGTGGAAGCCAAGTAGTTGGTGTACCTTGAGTTCACAGTATTCTTGCATTTTCTTAGCTTGTGCCATTGCCGTCTTAAAGCTTTCACTTTTACAGCCTTGGCCATTTCGCAACATGCATACAACACGACTGAAATCCTTCTTCTGGTATAGAGCAATGCATACAGAAGGAAGATTATCCCTACCAGCCCTTCCAGACTCTTGATAATAGCTTTCAATTGATTTGGACATTGTGTTGTGGATAACAAATCGCTGTGCATATTCAGGGGAAAAAAAAATGGAATTAGATTCATAGTAGTTGAAAGAAAAGGGGGAAGGGAGGAAATCATGTATTACCGGCAAGAAGAAAGAAAGTTTTCATAACATTAGATTTCATAAGATTATGACAAAGGGTAAATACAAGTGTTCAACATAACAAAGGTTAAATACAAGTGCTCAACATAGATCATTATGCCTTTGCTTTAACCATCACTAGCACAGTTGATGAATCATGAATGCAGGATACTTTTGTAATAGACATGAAATATCCATGTAGAATATTACCATATAAATCAATGACTGATAATCTCACAACCCTAACTTTTCAACATTTAAAGAACCATCAAAATAGAAATTGGAGAAGAGCAAATCTTATAAGGACTTACAACATCTGGTTTGTCTATTCCCATCCCAAAAGCAATGGTTGCACAAACAATTTGGACCTCTCCCATGTGCCACTTTTTCTGAACAACAACTCTTTGGCGAGCTGCCAAACCAGCATGGTAATACACTGTCTTAATATTACATTTCTCATTCAGAAACTTTGAAACCTCAACACATTCACTTTTTGAAAGGCAGTAGACAATTCCACACTGATTCTTGAAACGTTCTTGGAGAAGTTGCCCAAGTTGCTTTAAGGAATCCTTGGTCTTTCCAATCACCTCATACTTTAAGTTGGGTCTATCAAAGCTTGTCTCAAGGACTAGAGCACAGGGAATTCTCAAAGCTTTTAGGATGTCCTGGAAAGGACCAAAATGAGACTAAAGAAATTTTAAAAAATAATAATAATAATAATTAAAGTTCAGTGTTGCAGAAATCTTATTACCTGACGAACTGAGTGAGTTGCTGTGGCAGTCAATGCCATTATTGGAACATCTGGAAAATGCTGCTTGAGACATCCCAATCCCCTGTAGTCCGGGCGGAAATCATGTCCCCACTGGCTGAGAAGAGTAAGAAGAGCATCTATTATCCACTGAGTGCTACTAGAATAGCACCTTCTATCCACTGCTATGTGAAGACTTACAATTACAATGTTTACCATTCACTATTTGTTATTACTACTTACCAACAAAGCACCTTTTATCTATTGCTCATCTTTGTGAAGAGGTGTTCTTTGAATTTGAGAAAACCAACAAAGTTGCTAATTAGAGAGTATGGTATGCATGTGGAAACACGAATAATTTTAGGATCAAGGATTAGAAGGTTATAAGAGATTTTTACAAAGGCAAACATTAAGACATTGCAAAGAAGTATACAAGTTTGCATACATACTATGTCATGTACAACATGCAGGAAAATAGCTGCTTTTAAAAGGACAAACCAAGTAAACTTTGGATATGTACCCATATAACCATATATAGAGACCCAAATTACCACAAACTATACTAAAGAACAGGGATACCTAACACAGTGAGCTTCATCAACAACAAAAGCTGCAAGTTGTCCCTACATGAGAGCACCAATTCTATTATCAACTGAATTTCAAAAGCATGGCATCTTTCAGACAACTATTAAGAAAAGGGATGAAGGATACCTTCCTATGTAGACATTTTAGAACCTCAAGAAATGATGGGTTTCCAGCAATCCTTTCTGGAGTCACATATAAGAGCTTACATGATGGTTTGTCTTTCCTAACGGCATGAAAAGAACAACAGATATGAGAACTCTTAGACAGAAAAAGGCTGCTTAACAATTTGAATGATGGTACAAGAAAAGTTTTCCATATGAACTGAAAATAAGAATTGTATCTTGCCTCAACTCTTGCAAGACAGCTGCAGCTTGCGAAGTGGTTTGTTGAGAATTCAGAAAGGTAGCTGGTATTCCAAATTTAAGGTTCAGTGTAACAATCTGATCCTGAATTAGTGATAGCAAAGGAGAGATGACCACCGTAACACCAGGTTTCAGAGTTGCTGGGAGCTGTTCAAAGCACAACACAAGAATAGATAAATCACAATCTTGTAAATATAAAAACTGCAGAAAAGCAGCTTTTTGTATCCTAAATCAAAAGTCCTAAGAAAACCCTACCATATCTCTACCAGCATCTAATCTAAAAACACTCAAGGTGCAATGGAAAAGCCAGATCCTTTATGTGTTTCGGCTACTTAGCTGCTATTTGAAAATGAACAAACATGATAAATCTGCTGAGAAATGGGTATTACCTGATAACAAAGACTTTTACCACCTCCTGTAGGCATAAGAACAAAGCAGTCTCGCTTATCTAGAGATGCTTTACAAGCCTTATGCTGCAGAGGTCGAAATGATCTGTTGCCAAATATCACAACATTTGCCAATTCCAAATTATCCAAAGCTCGCAATTCTTCATAACTGAGAGTCCCATCTTTGTTTGCTGTCTCGTAGCCTCGTTTTTTATTGGCAACTGATGAAACAGAACCTTGAGTAACACTGCTCTTAGAAGCCTTCAAATGTAAACAAACTATTTAAGTATACAGAACCCTTTAGCCTCAAATTGAAAACAGAAACATAAATAAAGAAAAAATGTTATATTGAGTAATCTATAATCATTCCTGCAAATATAGATAGCTTTAGAAAGTTCATCACTTCAATGCTTGAAACTATCTTATAGTCTATTATAGTTGGTATAAAAGCTTGTTTTTCTAAAAGGCTATAACCATGGAAGACAACAAATTCCATAACAACAAGCAACAAAAGAAGAATCAATACCCAACAAGTACCATATAACATAGCTGAAAAAAAGATAACCTAAATCTAAGAATCTCCAAACAAACTCTTACCACGGATCTTGATGAATGTTTACTCAAACTTTCAGCACCCTTTTTTGTTGAAATTGCGAAACCATCATCATCACTTGAAGAATCCAGCTCCATGAAATCTGTCTGCTTTTTATGTTTTTTAGGTGGTTCAGGCGAATTATCCATGATGTCGATGTAATTTCTTATTTCACCATTTTTCCTAGCTTTATCAATGAAAAGATCATCTTTCTCAAACATGTCATTCAAAGCACCACAAGCTTCCGATTCCACCGCCTGCAAATCATCCCAGTCCTCACTGTCCTGCATGGATTCAGCCAGTGCTGCGAGAAAATCATCACCGCAGTACTCCACAGTGATGAAATCTCGTCCATCCTCACCTGATTAGTAAGGAAACAGAAAAAAAAAAAAAAATTAAAGAAAAACAATAACAAACTAAATCCTCCAAGATCAATAGATCGATATTTACTTCCAATGAAAAGTGAAGAATCGATTGAAGGAGGGAATGGTACCGTAGAGAGAAATCAGACGATCTAAGCATTTGTTTGCGGATTCTTCGTCGAAACCGGAGTCGAGAGCTAAGCTCAGCAATCGGGCTTTCTCCAATTCGAGATCAGAACCCTCCATTTCCGATTCAGTTATCTTGAATTAGGGTTTTTTTTTCCTTTTTTTGTGTGTGTGTGTTGGAATGAGTTGGAAAGAGTGAGATGGGGAAGAAGAAGATGAATTTTTTCTCCCGCGCTTTGATCCTTTGAAACCTAGTAAAAAAATTCCTACGCGGCAACGATGGGAGTTATACCAGCGTCCAAAATGAAAACGACGTCGTTTAACAGTTTGTCCATTTCAATTGTTTGCGTAATCTCGGCCTCCCAAGTATTTACTTAAACGGCATCGTTTAAAAGAAAAATATTGTAAATTATGGTTGTTACGTTATAAAGAAAGGAAATGATATTCTTCCGCACGAAACTACACAGAAAAAAGAAAATTACAGTTTGAATATTAAAATTATCAAAATAATATTTATGAATAGATATAGAGAAGAGTCTCATTCTAGACATAGAGAGGAGTTTTATTCAAACTAAACATTTATAAATAAATATAGAAAGGAGTTTCCACTTTTCAATAAAAAAAAAAATAGAGAAGAGATTCATGTGTTTTGATAATTTTAATATTTCGACTATATTTTTTCATGTAATCTATTAAAAAAATAATTTTAATAAAAAAAGCATATATTAATCTGACTATATAAATCTACAATGGTGTCATTTTGCATGCAAGATGGATTTCCACATTTTGCACGTAGGAGTAAATTAGGAATCCAAACTCACATAGCCCTATACTTTTAATGTTTTCCCATTTATGTCTCTCGTTACCCTTCTTGAAATTTGTATTTGCAACGTCTAAATTGAAGTTTCAAAGTCCTTTTCAACTTTTTAAGCTTTGGGACATTTCTAGAATACCTTAGTTCTCTTGCATGATAACTCATATAGCCTATATTTTATCGTATTTGTCAATCAGTTTAACATTTGTTTCTTCATAGACAGCAAAAATATTGGTAAATGATCCAACCAAAGACAAACTTACCTAAATCCAAGGGACTTAAGCATTGAATTTAGGGATGTATTCGAACTGGCAGACCCATATATGTCGTAAAGGGAAGTGTTGGTTTTATTTTATCCAGTTTCTGCAAAGACCACGAAAGGGATTTCGGACAAAATTCTTAAATTCTGGTACTCGTCTGTTTAAGAAAAAATCCCACCTCACTTCTCCACCTCTCCTTCCCTGGAAACAAGGCCAAGCATTACCCTTAATTGCTTCTTCCATTTTGGCCAAAAGAGAAGGGTCGGAGGAGAGAAGAGAAAGAGGGAGATTAGATGGAAGAGTTCCGGCACTCCTACAAGGGCTATAGGGGTGGCCGGAACCTGGGGATTATCGATGAGAATAGACTAAGATCCGTGAACAGAGTGTATGTTTGTCGATCTCAGCCATCATTTGATCGCTCATTCGACCTTTTTCCGGTTAAGAAACGGGCAGTGAAGGCAAGGAAAAGCTCTCCACATTCAATCAAGTCATGGTGGAACGATCCCGAGATGAAGAGGAAGAGGAGGGTTGCAAGGTATAAGATTTACACCCTGGAAGGGAAGATCAAGGGTTCTATAAAGAAAGCAAGTCGATGGATAAAGAAGAAGTGCTCTAAGCTGGTGCAAGGATCCTAAGAAGGAAAAATGCAAAAGAAGAATAAAAGAAATAAACATGTATGATCAGAGTGTTCAATGCACAGGTAAGATAATGGTTTGATGAATTTGTAAAGCTTTCTGATCAAATCTGAATGCAGTCTGCAGTCTCTCTTTTCGGTTTTCTTCAACTACGTGCAATATGCTTATTTTCCCTCTAAGAATTACTTACAGGAAACATATGAAACATTGCATGATGAAGGAAGATAATTTGAATCAGAATGTTTATGCCTTACATGCATTCAAATTATCCTGGATTTCTTCTTCGATATCTCCAATCATCTAGAAAATAATCTGTGGTCTCTTTAGAATGTAAGACCTGTAAGAGAAACTCGTATATCTAGAACATAATGAAAGAAGAGTGTAAAATGACAAAACACAACAGAAAACTACACATGCATCATAAACGTATGTTTACCATATAAACTAACAGGAAATATCTACAGATGAATAGTTTAAATGGTGTTAAGGTCTAAGCTTTTAACTATTTTTTCATTTTTGATTCCTTTTTGGACTTCTTTGGGCTATTATCCATGTGGGAGACCTGCAAAATATATTCAAAGTGAGATGTTGCTATGCTACATGTTTGCTTGCTGCACCCCTTGGATGCAAGAATCCCAACTTTTCAGTCAATACTTACAATGTGGGATTTCCACTCAACTTTGTCATGCCCGTCTGAATGACTATTAACACGGCGGAATATGTGAATAAGAACAACAGCATCAAGAGCAGCATACTCAAGCTGCATAATGGTAAGCAAGGTTGCATTAGCTTTTGATGACTGTGACAGCTGATGTTAGAAACTGAATTGCAGGTCATCTAAGAACCTATGTTATCCTATTTACACAACATTTCTGTAAATTTCTCTATTCCATGCACCTTGTTCTTCTAACTATTCTCCCAAAAATCTGTCAGGGATAAGTTCTATAGAACACATCCAAAACTGAGCAGCAAGCAACCATCTCATCTTCCTCATGCAGTTTTTTAATGTAACAGCAGAACACACAGAATGAACACACACACACACACACACACACACATAAAAGAATAAATGTATACCTGATTCTTACTGAGTGGTCTTTGCTCCCAGTTGCTGTTTCGCCTTGTTTTGTTCAAGCCCACTCCCAATATTTTCTGGTTAGGTAACATGCGAAACAATAATTTACAGAGCAAGAAAATCATAACAAAATCAGGTTGAATACCATTGAAAATGGGAGGAAGGGACAAACTCTGACAGCCTTTTTCATGTTCAGTTTACCTCCGCAAGGCCTGACAGACCACCTCGAGGTTCTTTAAACACATTCTGGACATCCAGTAACATTTCACAGTACTTGAAACACTCTAAGTCTCCATATGAATGAGCAAGTTGCTTCATATCACACTGAAAATTATAACCTACAACTCATGCAGTTTGTTTGCAGCATCAATAAAACAATAACAAAATCTTTTAATCCATTCCAAAATAATAATGAGTCAAGAAGTCATCCAAATTTATTTATAGCTGTTAAAGCAATGGGAGTAGAGGGAATTCCCCTATCTAAACAGATAGAGATTCTCATACCAAGTTTCAAAATTCTAGAAGACTGCAGTATGCGAATTAGGCAGTTGTCTAGAGCATCAGGCACGTTCTCATATAACTTTATCAAGTCAAAGATAAAAACCATTCTATCCGAAGCTATTTGCATGATAGAAACCTGATTAAAGGATAAAAAGTTTAATTTGCCAAATAACAATTTAGACAGTCATGAATAAATAAAGAACACCACAATTAAGAAAGAAAAAGAAGCAGAAATTAATAAATAAATAAAAGAAAACTGGATCAGAGAACATCTTTTCATCAAAAAACCCTTTATGAGTCTTCATAAATCCCTTTTCCGTAATGAGCTAATTAAGAAACAATAGGTTAAGAGTCCTCCAAAGGGTTAAGTATATTGACTCTCTGGTGTAGAAAAATAATTAAGAGATTGTTCTATGCTTATCTACTTACCTTGTTTGGCTGGCTGCCCTTTTCATAATTGGGTTTCCATTCACAATCAAGACCAATGACTTTACATCCCTCGACTTGGAAAGCTGCATTACGCAGGCTCTCAAACTCATCAACCCAAATTACATCTTCCACTGCAAAGTCATTGAGACTTAAAAAGCGACTTCGTAAAATTGCAGCTTCAGATCCTGAACAACAGTAACATAAGTATCAGCACAAGTGACTGGCTATTAAATCCATCATCAATTAACAGACCATTTGAATCTACAATTTGTGAGATGGAAAAGAATACCAAACATAAGCAAAACAAGCACCTTCATGTGGTGGTTCTAAACGGTATCCAAAAAGAAGCAAAATAAATGTCAAAGAATAAAATCTAAAGTGTTCCCTAGAAAACAGAAGAAATAAACTGGTTTTCCAACCATATTTGTCTATCTGACATTCTTCTTGAGGTTTAACGGCCATTGACAACCTTTCTGGATCATTTTTTCCTAGGGCAGGGGTGTAAAAAGGAAAATATCTGCTGTCTCGAGATGAACAATTATGTAGTACAAAGTACACACAAGCATCCAATACAAGAAAGAAAAAGTTGATTTCTCTCATGGTGGCAAATTTTTCTTTATCAGGAGAAAAAAAAAAGAAAAAGAAAAAAGAAAAATCTCTTCATTTGCATTATTTTTTTCAGATTGAAGGAATAAAATCCTATCAAAAGATTGATATTAGAAGACAAATTGCATGACCTAATTTGTTGATCTGACCGATAAAAGAAACAGAAAACAGTAAATTTCAGTCCACTTTCCTACTGTAGTTTTAACATTTAATCAATCCTGCCAATCACTCGTGCGGCCCCAGTGGCCACGCTTCTCTTTGAGAAGCAAAGTGATGGCACCCCTGGTGAAAAGGTTCAAGTTCCAGGATTGACACTCCCCTGTCCCCCAAAGAACAGATAATAATATTATGTGTAATTATTGCTTAAGAAAAAAACAAGGTTGCAGAAAGTGCTAGGCAATAGTGGGCGGTTGCCCACAGCCTAGAGCCTAGAGTGCATAAGTGGTGCCTAGGCAGCCTAGGCGGTTTTTTTTTAATAATAATTTTTTGATATAATTCTAAGGAAAAAAGAAAAAAATGTAAAACAATTTTAAAAATTATAAAATAAATAGAAAAATTAAACATTTTTCTCTTCATTATCATGTCTAAAGAGCAGAATATAGGGGAATTACTTGACATTTAATGTTTTTTTAATATAATTTTCATAATAAATTGAACAACATCATTTCATTAGGCTAAAAAATTAATAAAAAACATTTGCTCAAGCACTTTAGGCACCATTAAGCATGCCTAATAGTGCCTGGGCATGCTTAATTGATCTAGGTGATGCAAAATGCATTGAATTTCTGCGGGCGGAATGGCATTGCCTAGAGCCTAGGCTGATGTGGGCAGAATGGAACCACCTAGAGCCTAGGCGGCACCTAGGCACTGCCTAGGCCCGCTTTTTACAACACTGAAAAAAAATATCCTGCTTTTCATTTCCCTATGCAGCTGTTTGTGAACACATGATATGTCAAAGCTGAAAACTTCTGCAGAAGTTTGTAAACACCACTTCTCAAGCATATTTTATAGTTTTCAGGAATGGATAAAAAACTCAGAATCTGATATCTATCCTAAAAGAAATGCTGGAGGAGAGTACCTGTTGCTTTCAAGAAACCTTCAAGTGAGTAACGTTCACAAAGTTCTTCAACCTTCTCTGAGTAACCAGCTTCCATTGCCAGATAAACCTCATATTGAAAAAACATATATAGTCCTTTAAAATGCATTGCCAAAATCAACCAAGAGCAAAATAAAAAAAGGAGGGTCTCCTAGATACTTCTCTACACAGTAAAAAAAGGTAAAAGCACAAATCTTTGGTGTCCTAGTTTTTTCAACAGGATTCCAAAATCAACCAAGAGCAAACGAAAAATGAGGGTCTTATAGATACTCGTCTGTGTAGCAAAAAGTACAAGCACAAATCTCTGGTGCCCTAGCTTTTTCAACAGGACGCCAGAGACTCGGAATAACTGAAAAAAAAAAAAATCATTCCATATTGTTTAAACTTATTTTAATCTGTTCAACCTTCCCATGAATTTGATAGAATCCATTTAAAAACTTTGAGTGTTTCAAAATACTCAAATTTAAACAAGCTAGGTTAGAGAGAATATATATCAAGAAGGTGAGGTAAAGTAAGACAAGGCAATCCGAACTTGAAAATTGCTACATTTCTTAGTTATAAAGAGCATTTTACAAAATTATACAGAGATGAGGAGCGAAGTTCATCAAACAGATCCAGTTGGAAATACCTACTCATGTTCAAAATGAAAGTATAATTTAATCTACAAGTTAGAGCAAAAAATAAAATAAAATGAATGGAATCAACAAACATAAGCCACTCAGACCTTTCTTTCTTCTTATTCTTTTGCTTTTTGACATTGAGAAGTTTTGGAAAGTAAGCCTTTACCTAAGAAGAAACTTACCAAATACTCAAGTAGTTGTCTATCACCATCTGCCCTTGCCTCTGCAATATCCCAACATGCTTTTTCTGCTAGCTTCTTTAGTATGCTGCATTATGGTAAAATACTATCATTCCCTTTTCATCACAAGTTTCACCTTCCCCTACTCCCCATTACATCTTTTCTGTTTGGAAGAGGGTTGGGAAATATGGCATATGAAGAGACAGATTTTTCTATGTACCTTTCTTTACACTTATGATATAAATCAGGAAAATCCTGCTGGAGATTGTTTTTCCTTATGGTGACATAAGCATTCTTTAGCATATTCCTATCAGCATACTCCTGGACAAGAATAGATAATATTGGTTTCCCCATAAAAGATGCCCACTTCTCTGCCGCTCTGAATTCTTTGTTCTCAATCATTGTGAAAAGAAATGACTGTCCAGACTGGCGAATAGAGAACTGTTCTAATAGAGTGACTGCTGTCATATATGACTGTGATTCAATCCGTCCAAATATAAACTGCTCAATAAATGTTTTTGCACTGTCAAACCTACAATCATTCTGGGCCTTTAATTGAGAAACTACTTCCTCAACATCCATCAACCTAACATCAAAAACTTCAATTATCTTCATAATGATTCTCTCAGCATGGTCAACAGAACCCCCAACAATATCAATAAACAACCGTGCTGCCAGTTTTTTTGCTGTCAAGGTGTCTGCAGAGGTGGTCACAGCTTTCTTGAAACGACCAAGAGCAGATAATATCAAGTGACTGAACCCTTCAGAATATAACTCAAATATGGGGAGGACATAGAGGCATTGAAGAATAAAAGTTGCCACTCCAGGTCGGGAAGAATTACAGAGAACATTACAGACTTGTTGTTGGAGAGCTCGGAACTTGACTGTTGCCTTACATGTTCCTGTAAAATGCATTTACTGAGAATCAGCATGAACAAGAAAACATACAGAGAAAATAATAATAATAATGAGGTGAAATCATATTGAGACATTCTATTTCCAACAGCTGATTCCTCCTACATTAAGGGCCACTTGATGGTGCTTGATTAGACTAGATAGTTCGAAGGAATCAACCAAGGAGGATACTCAGTATAGGCACAGAGTATTCATCAAAGAGCTTTGTCCTCATTATTTGTTCTTAGTACAAAACAAATGCTGCTCTGCCGATTACTGTAAGAGATTTACAGACTCAAATATTATTTGTCCAAATGTCAAGGAGTCTTTTGACATGACGACAATACACCATCAGCAAACTAAAAAACACAAACGTTTACAAGAAAATAATACAATAGAGATTAGCAAGGAACGGAGGAAAGATCATACCATGAAAGTAGCATTCTTTTAGAAGGTATAAGAACACTACAGGAGAAACATGAGTCAAATCAGAGAATGCATGAAGACAAATTGTTTTTTCTTGCCCAGTTTCATTTCTTCTGTCGGGTCGCCTTACAATATTTTCCTCAAGACCCATGCTTGAAAGCCACAGCAGAGACACTGGAAAACAAAAATGAAGACTTGACTGAAGAATTGCAAATAAAAGTATTCGACCAAAACAGTAATGACACTGGATTGTTTTCCCTTTTCCCACACATCTAATTTTAATCTACCAAAACTGAATAGCTATAGTAACAAAAAAAATAAAGTAAAAAAAAAAAAAAAAAAAACACTATTTGACTATAACTGAACACATATTGTGCCTACTTCTTCTAATTTTATTTTTCCTCCACTTTCTCATCAACCAAACAGATCTCATAAGAAAGCTACAACAAATCCCACGAGTAATAAACAGAAAACCAGATCAAAACAACATAGAAGAGGGCAAAAAAAATTGAAAAATAGAACTTCTACATCAAATCCACCATTACAAATTTACAATGAACTAATAGTAAACGCCAGAGAAGGACCATAACTGGAATAAAATCTAGTAAACAAACAAACAAACCACAACAAAACCAAACGGAAACAACAAGTGAGAGTAAATACAAAAACAAAAACAAAAAAAAAAATCTCTGATTACCTGAAAGTTTTCTCGGAAAATCTTCTCCTTTTTCTCATAAACCAAACAACATCTGCAGGAAAAAAACAAGTAGAATTTATCAGAGAAGAAGAGTTTTTTCCTTTTCTTCTGAAAATTTTGGTTTTGGAGAAATGAATGCAATAAACTTAATTACACAGGAGTTTTTTTTTTTTTCCTTCTGGGGGTTTTTGACCACGTCGCTGTAGCTTCTTAATAATTCAGAAACGGATAAATGTGAGTTTTTTTTTAAAAAAAGGAAAATAAAAATGTGATTACAACCAGAAGAAGTGATACAGTAGGCGGTGGCCCACGGGATCTTTGCCATAAATGGTATATTGTGGTTTTTTTCACCTAAAAGTTCATTTTTCTCTTTTCCTGAAAAAGCAGAAAATAACAAGAAGAATACAATTCTTAGAAAAATTAGGGCACGTTTGGTTGGTTGATTAGGAGAAATGGCTGAGAAGGGAATAAGGCCTCCGCTTACTTTTTATTCAAATGCCGTAAATTTGTCTTGTTTCTATGT